TTTCATAGTACTAAGACTAGGTTATACATTTAAATATAATAAATATTACAATTATAATAAGTACTAAGAAAACTCAACGCTTATAGAAAAAAGTTCATTTGGGAGGAGTTTAATTCAGTGTAAAAGCTTAAATTTTCAGAATTTACAACAATAAAAAGTGATTTTTCAGATAATAATAATGCAGTGATTGCTGGGGAAGTTATTTTCAACTGCCTAATTTAAAAAGAGGACAGTGAAGGGAGAAAAAGAATAAACACTTCATCCAACACAAAAAAAGTAACTATGCAGTGAGTTGTCAGATAAAATAATGTAAACAACACATCTGTGCTTACTTTTAAGGCTATAATTATGTACAAATATAAACTTAACCTTATATAAAAATTGAGAGGCACCAGATTTGATTAGTGTGAAATAGAGTTATAGCCAGATTAATACTGTATGTAGCATTTAATTTTAATTTTCTATTTGAAAATTATATTATTATATTAAAGCATGTAAAATTTGTAGTCAGCATAACAGTTTCAAATCCTTTTTCTTAATTGACAACGATGGTGGCACAGGAAGCATTGTTCTCTCCCTAGTTTCATTTTAAACAAATCATTCTCAGATATAAAAATAGCAAATTACATTAAGTTTTCTATAAGGCATTTTCAGCTTCTCCTATAGGAAGAGCTATATAAGCAGCTTCCTTGCCATACATCACAGCAAATGGCTTTGAATACATTCTCTTGGAAGACCCCATTCAGAGATACAAGCTCCAGGCTATAGTGACTTGATGTTTAAAATATGCAAGAAGTTTTAGGTTTAACAAAACAACAAGCAAGAATTGCCCAAACTCTTGAGTGGTAAATTCTGATATTCTTTACTGCCTCCAAGTTGAAAAGTCAAGTAGTTTGTTATTTCTCCTGGTTCTGACTTCTTAACACTTGCCATGACATTTTAATTCTAAAACTCCGATTACACATTAACTACATTTTTCATATTTTCCAAAATGAAACAAGGATGATAGCAGTGACTAGAGTCCTGTAAACATCATTACTAAATCGGCTGTATTTACACAATAATTATTAATCTGCTTTGGGCATTCTATTAGTTGTAAGCTCTAGTTCAAGGTGTAAATAAAGATGCTTCCCTGTCTAATTTGTCGTAAGTTCAACTTTAAATATAAAAAGGTTACAAATGTTCTGGATACATTTTTTAACATACACATTTCTAGGTCTTGGCTTATAAATATTAATGGGCTAATTGGCTTCATAGTTTAAGGCAGAAAGTATGTTAACAGAGGAAGTTTTAAAAGTCAATCCTTCTCAAGAGAAGTGAGTTGGGGGAAATTGGAGGGGGAGACAAACCATGAGAGACTGTGGACTCTGAGAAACAAACTGAGGGTTTTTGGGGGAGTGGTGGGTAGGGTGAGGCTGTGGTGGGCATTATGGAAGGCACGTATTGAATGGAACACTGGGTGTGGTGCATAAACAATGAATTTTGGAACACTGAAAAAAATAAAATTAAATTTTAAAAAAAGTCAATCCTCCTGTTCCTTTATCTAATGAATTTCTGAAGGCAGAGAACAATCCTACGAACTGGTAAATTCTCTCTCATCAGATATGTTCATTGTAGATTCTACAGAAAAATAAAAGATATTATACCAGACCCGTTATGGAAAATGAATTGTTAAGATCTGGAATTCAGTACATAAATGGTAAAATCATCTTTCTTTTTCTTAAATATAGCTAATGGTGCCATAAAGAAAGAAAAAAAATTGAGAGAAATCATCTTTACCATAATAATCATTTCTATAACTCTAAGAAAATACCTTATGATTTAAATTCTTGTATTCATTATTCAAAGAACTTGAGAAAACATGGCATCACTATTACTACTCAAAGTAATACAAAATGTGGTAACTTCAGGACTCATTGTTCAGCACTAGAAGCATTTTTTGTCCTCTTTTTTTGAAAGGAGAAGTTAATTAGGAAGTTAAATACAATTGGCAAAAATATTTCACTCTTCTCTAGATATGAAAAAGTTTTCTGGCCCAAGATAATACCTATAGTCACTACTTTATCAGTAGAGATGAAACTAGTTTTTTCTTTATCATTTTCCACATTCTTATTTGCTGATGCCTACCGATTTAAACAGAGAAATACAAACCTATAAGTTATTTATGGCTTGTTTGGTACCTTAAAGAAATTACATACTATTCAAACACCAAAAACAAAACAAAACCACTTCTGAGTAGGATTTAAATGGTTAAGCATTGACTGTGCAAAATACAAAAAGGAAATGTGAACTAAGGGAAATGAAAAAAAATTATTTTTAAAAACTTTAAAAGACAGCCACGGAATATTACTTGCTCACCAATTACAATACAATACAGATTTTGTGTAATTAATAAACAATTAGATAGTAACTATTTTACGAAAACATTTTTCTCAATTTCATCTATTACCTAAAATTATGTCTATTACACTGCAGGCATCCAATAAACATTTTTGAACGACTATACCATTCAAAGAAATTAATTTATAAATAAAGTTTGCCTAATTGTATTTGTCTGACATACAGAATTAGACTATTAAATTTCCAGTAAGAGACACGCTGCTGAACGTCAACACAATTTCACTGAGATACACCCTTCTTACCTAAAACTACATACCACATCTGCAGCATGATCTACAACACTTAACAAAGTGTTTTACACACTTTCCAATCCCCCATTTCACCTCTACAATTTTTAAGTATTGATGAATTACTCCCTGCCAAAGAAGTCACATTATATACAACAAACCTTCAGTTTAAATAAGGAATAAGCTTGCCATTTACAACTTAGTTTGAAATGTTAACAATCCTTAGGTTGTTAACATAACAACTGGCCATTAATGTGGTAATGACTAATTTAAGAGGAAATTATACGCTGAGAAATGAATATATTGGCAGTCAGGACCAGGATTTTGATTTGAAAGGGTATTTTTTTTTTTTTTAACAAGTTAACAAACATTAGAAGCTTGAGCCTAAGGGAAATTATGTCACGAAAAAACATCTTTCCCTTAGATTTCTCTTAGCATTTCTGATATGGAGACTATTTTGATAAACTGTTTTCAACAAAACACTTACTTGGACTATCAAATGACAATTTAACATCATATTTTTATTACTGTAAAGAACAACACAAAACAAGCCCCAGGTTTCTTTCTGTGCTTACTACTATATTCACAACTACAAGAAACAGTTTAACTCACGATACAGGTAGTTCACTGGCAAGGTATAAATTTTTAAAATCCGGCTCTGTCAACATGCTTTCCTTAAATCTTACTTAATTTTAATCTTTACTGCTTATTAGAACACCTTAATCTCGCCCAGACTATATAAACTCCTTGTTTTGGAATCGCTGTTACATAAATCCACTTGACACACTGCAGTTGTAAACAAATGTAAAAGTAAAAAAAAAAAAAAAAAAAAAAAGTCAAAAAGCCATGACTATTGGTTAGTGAAGATAAAGCAAAACTAGGAAGCACTGTTAAATCACTGAAAGCAAATGCAAACGCTTTATGTGGAAATGAGGCTCTAATTCACAGTGAGAAGAGGAAAAAATTTTTTATTTCAAAGAAAAAGTTCAAAGGCTGAAGTTCTAAGAGAATTCATGGAATAAGTTAATTCTGATTAGTTGTGCCGCCACAACAAGGGAAATCCTGGCTCTAGAGTCACTTCCCATCGTTGGTACCTAAGTGTATTTTGTGCCCTTGGAACACAGAGGACCAGTAACAAGTGGTCATATATTAGCCAGGAGGCTGTCAGAGGAGGCAGTCGTCGGAGGGGCAAAGAGAAGAATCTGATAAACAGTACTAGATTCCCTCTTTTAAACTATCTCTAACCAAATGATAGGTATTTTTAGATAAAGACTAAATCAAACCAAGAAATAACGGATTCATATACAGGGAAGCACCAGGTTCCCTAGAAAATACTTCTCCATATACAGGGAAGCACCAGGTTCCCTAGAAAACACTTCTCCAAATAACTAAGATGGTTAAGGAGCTACGGCTGATTGATAAATTTTGTGTCATAAAGGAAAAAATTTTCAAAATAAATCGCTTAATGTCAGGCTAGAAAAATGATTAATTGTATCAAATATGAAAACCCAAATGATGCCATATATCATTTCTCTAATTTGATAGGCCCTACTTTATTAATATATGTAATTTGCAGCTGATTCAAGACACAAAGTTCCCTGAAAAGCAAAATAATTTTTCTTAAACAGAAGTTCATGTGTTGATTTGGAAACAAGTCTAGTGGGCTTCTCGGTTTTTTAAGCAAGAGCATAAGAATTGTCCTCAAACTGCCCAGATGTTTACAGTTTGAAGAGTGGCTATCATCTCCCCATAATGATGGAGATCTTTACTGGGTTAATTTCCCTAACATTACTGGCAAGTCCGAGGCTGTTAATGCTCAGTGATATCTTTGCAATGACCACCTGGAATGCCATGGAGGGTGGGGGGATGTATTCACACTTGGGGAAAGTTCTCAAAAACTGTATAATAAACGTGCTAATAAATGGCAGCTACTTTCAACTGCCTTTCCTTGGCAAATCAGAAAGATCAGAAGACAGCTGAATAATTCTCGGGTCAAGCTAAGCCTACCTTGTCAGTGAGGGCGTAATACAACACTTACATGCTGATTTCTACCAAATACATCCTTGCCATCAGCTGGTGGTTTCCTCCTGGGTAGTGGAATCACCTATTTCTAAATGGGAGCCTCCGGGCAGGCCAAAGGGAAACACTTCAGATAGGAGGATTTCTTGGCCGTTCCTTAGGCAAGAATTTGCATACGAGGCACCTGGCAACATTCTGAAGGCTGACAGGTGAACGTCTGTCAGGAATGTAAGCTGGTGGTAAGGAAATGAAACAAAAACAAAAAACAAAAAACAAAAAACAAAAAACAAAACACTTACAAAAGTATTTTTAAAAGGAATCCAGTCATCACTGGTGTGCAAGGATAATTCCTACCTCAGGTAGTCTCTGCGACAAAGGATAAGATTAGCTTTAGTGTACAGGGTGGAGCCCACCTCTCCCAAGCGACAGTCACAGCAGGCACACTTCAAGCAGTCTTCATGCCAGTATTTGTCCAGGGCCTTTAGAAGATACCGGTCCTTGATCTTTCGGTTGCAGCCAGCACAACCTTTCGGCTTGGTGTCTGGCTGGACTGAGAGCATTTGTATACCTAAAGGAAGAGACAAAAGCAAAAAAAAAAAAAAGAGCTGGGACTACAAGAAAGAAGCCGAAGATGTCGAAGGACCTTACACAAGTTGAATGTTTCATCCTGTGTTTCTGGAGGAGCGGCCGACTTTCTTCGGAAGGGGCATACCAAAATCACACCGAATTTCGGAAACAAAAGGCTCAAACATTGTGAAGTCCTTGTCAAACCGTTTAGAAGGTCACACATACAAAGTGCTGAAAATAACACACTCCTGTTGTACAGAGTGAGTTGGCACAGGATACACCAAGTTAAGCAACACTAGATAATTTGGTGGTGTCCCTCATTCTCCACATAGGGGCTTCCTTTGGGAAGAAAATGTGAGTGAATGGCTAACAGTCTTCAAGAAAGCTGTTTAACAAACTAGTCTGTGCACAGTTTATAAGAGTCAAGAATGAGTTTTTCTTTATTGCTCAGATATTCACTTGCTGTGTGCTTGCTGGAAGAGAGGGCACCTTCTGGGATTACAGTAACCTGACTTTAGCAGTGGGGATGTTTATAGCTAAACACACAGCACAGTCATCCAAAAAGCTCACCAGTACTATGTTGCTTGTTGGCATCCAAATACTTCCTTCTGCGCTCTTGATATTTCAAAATCATTCCTTATGTTAAAATTTCAAAAATGAATTTATACTCACAAAAACATCAATCAGTGCCTCTGTTAATGGCAGCTTCCCTCACTGTATACTACAGGCTTTGATATAAAACTAAAGTATGAGATTAATTTATTACCATAAACACGCACTTATTTATTTTATAAGGGAAAGAAAAAACAACAGAAGGTAAAATCTAAATATATATAAATTACATAAACATACATACATAAATATATGCATATATCTCTAGTGCACTAGACATAGGATGTTTATGTATTTTAGACATCTATCTCCGTCATAAATAAGGAGTCTAGCTGGGTTCTGTAGGTTTTACAACTTGGCTGAAATTTTTTCAAAGAAAGGCTATTCCCCTTTGAGTTTCTTCTTCTTTCCCAGGTGTCAAACACCCAGCTTAAAAAAAAAAAACCTGGACCAACTATTCAGAACTTCGTATTTATCAAATAACTCATTCTAAGCACTATAAAATACTGCAGACATCACGGATTGCTAACTCCCTCATTTTACAAATTGTGATGTAGGGGCCTAAGAGAGTTTAAGGACAGAACGACAGTCAAGTACTAGATCTGGTGGTCTTCTTACAGTCCAGAGGTCCTGTTCCTATAGGATACTTCCTCTCCTAGGCAGAAAGTTTGAAACTACACAAAACACCAAATGTGGATGCACTTAAAACAGTTTCAAGAAAAGAAATGCCAAGCTAAGATCTTAGAGTCTTCCCCTACTCCAAAGGAGCTAACCCTCCTTTAGTTTCCTCTGATGCCCTCTGATGAAGGCTTCATGTCCATAACCTTCACGATCTTTTTTTTTTTTTTTTCTTTTCTAAATCACACTGATAAGAGACACCCAGGCACCATACCCTCAGAGCCAAATAACTTTTCTTGCTACAAATAATACATGGGTTGCACAGAATACCGTTATGATGCTGAACTTCCATCAGAAAAGAACTTCTCTGGCAGAGGAATGGAAGAGAGGATGGCGGGGAAGAACGCAGGGTGGCTGTTCTTCCTGCATGACATGCACAGCCGTGGTAGTCGGAGCTGCAGACAAGCAGCTGGATTTGTACGGAAGAGCAGGTGGTGTTCCTCTAGCCTGCTTTCTGTTCCTTTTCTTTGAAGGAGCTGAGGGTCTAGTGTAGATTAATCATAACCCTTGATAGCTCTGCTAAATCTCACTCTCCAGAACTTCTAACAAATGAAGTTTCTTTGATCAGAACTAGTTACCGTCTTCCAGCAAGGTTCCACAAGGAATAAATCCCATTAATTACAGTACAGAACATATCCAAGTGCCTCTTAACCATATACCGGGGTGGGGGGGGGAGGGGGCAATTTGGATTTACAAAATGACATTCCATATTTTGCTGGTGAAGACATCAAGAGATATGAGTGGCTATTCTAATTAGTCAATTTCTAAGGCTAATATTTTTTCCCATCACAAAGCCTACAAATTTTAAAATCCTTTACAGTTGTAGCTCAGCTCTATTTCCCTCCGTTGAGTTACTACCATCAAGCGTAGAAGGTCAGCTATCTTTATTCAAAACACTTTGCAACCGAGACAGGGAATACCAACATTTGGCACAAGTAACACTACCCTGCTTGTCTTCACAAAATGTTTTTGTTGTGTTGACATTTTCATTTACCACTCAGAGGCCAATTAATATTGGAAACTCTTACTTTCTGTTTGGCCTTGGGCTTGAAAGAGTTTTGGAATTTTGCATGCCATCCTGGTGCCTTCTTTTAGAGAACATCATCACACTGCTCTTGGAGAGGAAATCTTTTCAGTAGGATGCAAGTTAACAGTTGTAGAAAAAGAACTATTTAGTGGTCGCAGCATTGCCATGTACCCAGAAGGCACAAAGCATCAGCAGCAGCAACCCCCCCTCCTCCAACCGCCACCGTCCAGAGAAGCACGACTGGGTAGAGTTATGTGTTCGGAGCCGAGAAACATTTCACAAGTTGCTCATAGCATATCAGGACTCATAACTAGTTTTAGATTGGCATGTAAATTGTTCTGAGGGAAATTCTTATTGCCTCTGAGACCCTGCCATTCTGAGTTATTTGACAGTTTAAGGGAAATCATAATTAAAAAAAAGACATAAATAATAGCCTGTGCAGTGTGGTGTGCAGAAATAAGTAGAACCATTTCATTTAAACTCTGGTGAGCTTTTAATTGCCTGGATTGCATTGTGAGGCGGCCTAACGGTTGATCGCCTCCATTATGTTCCCTTGTTCTATGCCATTCATCCGCACAGTCTCAGCTTCAGTAGCTAACACAACAAAGTAACCACAACTCCACAACACACAGGGGCTTAAAAAAAATAATCATAATCAAAGACTTGCAGCACTTAGACACAGTCTTTTATATTTTTGGACTAACTACACATAGTGAATGGAAAACATTTTGTCCCTGTCGGAAGATTCACAGAGAACAATTTGGGAGAAGGAACAGTAAGAGGGAATACATAAAGGGGGTTGGCACAGATGAGGTGCCTTAGGAAGATGCTAAAATGGGAATGCAGGTTCTGCAGCTGGGAGCAGTGACACAGATTAAAAGAATTTGGCCAACGTGGCCATTCGATTGCCAAGAGGTACCAAACAAAAGATTTTCTCTCCTCCTGCCCATCTTCATCCTCTCCCCAACCCCCAGACCCGACTGGAGAACTGGATTGGGCCTAAAAGCTTGTTTCTCTCTGTTCACTGGCCCAGAGCATCCCTACAAGCTGCAGCCCCCTAAGGGACAACAATGCAAATAGATGTCCCCAGATCTCAGGCACTGGAGCTGCTTAACTCTGTTCTGCCCCTTCAACTCCCAACCCCCTCCCCATCCTTCCACCACCCCCTCCCCTTTTTGAGCAATGGAGCTGGGAACCAATTTGATTCCCTTTTTCTCCAATGCAGCTGCAAGGCTCAGAGATACTGACATTTTTCCACTCTTATCAGTTTAATTACAGTTACCATGGCAGCAAAGTGCTAGTGCTTGGCAAAGGCCAACAAGAGATTTGCAAGACTGAGTTCAATTTTGATGCAGCTCACATGCAAAAAAAAAAAAAAAAAAAAAAAATAATAATAATAATAATAAAAATAATAATAATAAAAAAATAAGAAACATACATACACTCTAACAAAGAATCCCTTGCAGAGTTTATGCTCTAGCCTTTTGTGGTTGTGTCTTTGCAGCCACACAGGGCTGATTTGCAAAGAATGTAGCAGTATTTGTTGCACCTAGCAAGATTAATTGGTTTAAGCAGCAGTCTTTCAAAGCAGTTACAACAATAATATTTCGGATCTTTTAAAAACACACAAAAGCAGAAGAGCAGGAAAGCTTGTGAGCAGCCAAGAGTGCTGAGCTCCCGGCAAAGTGCACCTATGACAGATTGTAACCTTACCAAAACTTTTCTCCTTTTTCTGCATGAGTTGACTTAGGCGTGCCTGAGTTGCAGCAGCTTCGCATTGAGCCCCAAGCCCAAGGTAGAAGTGGAAGGGGGTCTCCTGGATTTAGCTCAAGTGTGGACCTGGTGCGCAGCCTACACCGCCGAGGACCGACTATTGTGAAGCCACTTTGGGAGCGGGTCGGAGTGGCGGCAGGGGGTGGGGGAAGGGACGAGGGCGGCCAGAGGAGACAGAGCGCACACACAGAGCCCCTCGCAGTGTGGCAGTGTGCAAAATGATGGCGAATGACAAAGCCACATGCTTCCCTAACTCTGCCCGTAATCCTAAAATCCCAGCGGCCCCTTTTAGCTTCGTGGTAACAAATGGATTTGATTAAACTGTCACATGCAGCGTTAGCATAGCATATCATGTTCAATATGAAAAAGATCATAAATCTGACTTGTATTTCATAACAGCAATCTGGGTAGCCCCCGTAAAAATGTGCTGCATCAGTCTGAATCTCAGCCTCGTAGGACATAGGCACCTTCTTCCACGGAACCTCTCTCTTGTGGCCACTTCTCCCCACCGCTCCCCTCCCCGACCCCCGACCCCCTAGGAAAACAGTCACTTTTCCAGCTCGCAGGCACAACATTTTCTTATTATGGAAAAGTGGGGAGAGGCAGAGTGTCCACATGAACCCAAAGATTGCAATTACAACTCTTGGGGGAGGGAGGGCTGTGAATTCCAGCAAGTACAAGGAATGGGTCCGGAACCCACCTAAGCGCTGAATCCCCTTCCAACGGGCCAGGCCAGAGCGAACCTCTCCTAATTCCAAACTCTGCCTGCCCCTCTCTTCCCAGGAGTCAGGGGTGTGGAAATGCTGCGGCTCATCCTGAACTTTGACTATTATCCACTCGAGTCGTACTTGAGACATTCCGCGCCGCAGCCGCTCTCCCTCCTTCCATCAACATCTTCCGCCTGCATTTATTTCATGTCTCATCATAAAAATAATGAAGCCTCACATGATTTAAACAAAACCGTCTCAGCAGAGCTGCAGCCCGAGTGAAAGTTGCAGTGCGGAGCTGGGCTGCAGCTCCAGTTTATGCCTCATTAGGAGAGGCTGGGGAAGAAAAAAATACCCACATCCGCACACGCACGCGCGCACCCGCAGACACACACACCACAAATAAGCCGACGCGTGTGTACACAGTTGCTGCACTTACCTTCTCAATTAAGCGATACAGGGGGAGGCCGTTCAGAAAGCACAGTGGCCGCTTTGTAGTGCTTCTCCTTGGGAAAGGTCAAAAAGAAGCATTGTTTGAAAAAAAAAAAAAAAAGAGGGGGAGGGAAATCTCTATTTTTTAAGTTTAAAATAATGAGGTCCTCAAGGATCCGCCAAGTAATGGTGTTGACCGCGTCTGAGCCACAGGTGTCCTCCTTTTAGGCAACTGCAGTCCGAGGCTGTCTCTCTCCGTCCTGGCTCAAAACAACTTACCCCAGCAGCACGCGAGGAGCCGAGCTGAAGGAAGCCCCGGCTCTCAGCTGCAAAATACAATCCCTTCCCAGCCAGACATAATACAGCCAAAGAAAAGGTCACTCAGTTATTACTGAGCCGGCGGAGCCCCGGCAGCGCTTGTCAAGACCACAGAGAAGCAGCTCCCTTCCGATTTAAGACTATTTACCTCTCGCCCCCACCCCTCCCCTCCTTTCCTTCTCTCCCTCCCTCTCCGCCCGCTCGCTCGCTCGCTCTCGTGTGCCTGTTCTGCAGCTCAGTCAAGTACAGCCGCCCTCGGAAAGTGCAAAGCAGCCACGAGACAGATCGGGCTTTGTTGCTAATTTCCCAGGGTGCAAATTTACAAGCCTGCGAGTGCAGTCAGCACAGCCACGCGCATATGCTACTCACAAACGCTGGGGACGACCCCGCGCACAAAAAGTGACCTCTGCAGGAGCCGACTGGAGAAGACCCTACCTCCTGGACCCGTCCAAAAGAAGTCCTGCCAAAGAGCTCCGGAGGAAAAGGATCGGATTCCTAAAATAACCAGGGCATTTTGGAATAGGTGGCCACATTTACAACAAACTGTCTTCCAAAGCCATTTCGGAAGCTACCAATTATGGAAATTAAAATAAAGCAAGAGAATCAAACTGCTACTAGAACACACTGGAAAATCACACGACCCTCCTCTTTAAGAAATATCGGGGGGGGGGGGGCGGGGGGAGGGGGACAGCAGTTGCCCCGTGTCTGACTTCCATTAATGAACTCTCAAAAGTCGCTGCTCAGCAAGGCAGTTATGCCACACAAGCTGGGTCCAGAGCAATAGCACACTCCCCTTCCTCCAGGGGAGCAAGAACCAAACTGTAAACTTGTTTCCCATTAACCATTACTGAACCCCCTCCCATCCCCACCCATACACTTCTTGCAATTACTTGAATTCCTTACAATTTAAAGTTCACGCTCTAGAATGAAAAACACCCAAGAGCATAAGAAACATGTTTTCCCAACTAACTTGATCAGAGCCATGGAGTTTCTTCACCATTTCTGCCCCCTCTTCCTTGGCTTCTTTTAGAGGCCTTGACAGGGTGGTGGTGGTGGTGGTGGTGGAGGTGGTTTTTTAAATTGAATTTGGTTCTGTTCTCCCCAATCTCTGCTCCTCTTAACTTTACATCTATAAAGGCTACTGGTAGCTTTTTAAAATATTTTAGTTTTTCCTCTAAGTTTTCAAACTTCAAAGTCATCCTCTCCTTTTGGCTATTTATCATAGCATCCCACCAGATTTTATAAAGCCCTGTCAAAGGTCAAGTTTAAAAATAATCCAAATTTGAGTGACACTGGCTGAAATGTCTTAAGGGCCAAGAAAGAGTCAGCTGTTGAACTCCAAAAAACTTTTATACTTCTCAGCACCATTAGTTTTAATGTAGTTCTGTTAAAAAAAAAAAAATCAAAGCATCCCTTCCCCATGTATATTTAGGCCAAATTATGCATCTCTTCATAAGGAAAATGACACCACACTTGTAACTTTTTTTTTTTTTTAATCCCTTCCCTTTTTTAAAAACTCATCATCAAATAGTATGTAGTTTGTTTTCCTCTCCCTTTAAAAGGCAAGAAAACTCAGAACTAACCTGAAAAATAACGAAAGTCACAGCCGGTGGATTAATAAGAACCCCTTCAGTTGATGTGTTCTGTACATAGGCAGATTTCTTAAGTTTGGCTTTTCTGGCCCGTCTAAGGAGGCAAACATGGACCTCCCGCTGTTCTACCCCACCTCTCTGCTCAAGC